TGGGCGGGCCTGAGTTTCCCCTCCTCACCTAAACTCTTCGGCTGATTGCTCTTCTGTCTGGGTTCAAGGCTTTTATCCCCTTTCTCCTGCTCTTCCGGCCTGCTACTCTGGGCGTCCCTGCGTTGTCTCTCCTCACCTGTAACCCTGGGGCTGACTAGCTGTGACCCCACATACAGTGGGACAAAGCACAGCAGGCCCTGTGCTGGCCTCATGACCAGGTGCCCAGCAGACCTTGGTGATCCACAGGGATCCACAGGCCTGTCTTCCAGTCCCTGACAGTCCAGAAGCTCCACTGAACCCTGTTCAACATCACAGCGACAGACAGGCCTCCCTGGACAGTCGGGTGGGGGCTGCTTGGAGGTGCACTGAACGGAAATCAAACCCAGACGTCCAGCATGGAAGGTGAGAAGTCTACCTCTCTAAGAGGCAGTTGTTTGAAGAGAACAAGGAAATACTGAAAAAATCAGGAAGGGTATGTGTGTTAGGCACTATGCTACCTTCAAATTGATATTTTACCTATCAATAAGGAATTATAATAAAAAGACACACTCTTTTTCTATGAAGATAATAAACTCTGTCAGTTTGCCATACTGTGGTGGCTTGTGTGTTGTTATAAGGCTGGAGGCTATGCCACCAGTATTTCAATTTCATCAATGGTAGAAAGATTTCAGCAATGCTTCCAGACTAAGACAGAATGGGAAGAAGGATGAGGTCATCCACTTCAAAGAAATGGCCAGTGAAAATCTTATGAATAGCAGTGAAACACTCTCTGATATATGGAAAACTTTATGAATAGTCATGAATCATTGTCCGATATAGTTCTGGAAGATGAGCCCCTCAGGATGAAAGGCATTCAAAATACCATTGAGAAAGAGCTGCTACCTTAAAGTAGAGTCAACCTTAATGAAGTGGATAGAGTAAAGCTTTGGGGATCTTCATTTGCTAATAGGGCATTACTTAAAATGGGAAGAAATAGCTGCAAATATTCATCAATAATGTGACTGTGGAATATATGAAGTATGAATCCAGGAAAATTGGAAGTTGTCAAAAATTAAATGGAACACATAAAGATCAATATCCTAGGCACTAGTGAGCTAAAATGGACTTATTTTGGCCATTTTGAATTAGACAATCATATGGTCTACTATGCTAGGAATGACCAATTAAAGAGGAATGTGGTCACATTCATTGTCAAAAAGAAAATTTCAAGATCTAACCTGAAGTACAATGCTGTCAGTGATAGGATGACATCCGTATCCTGACAAGGAAGACTAATTAATACTACTATTATTCAAATTTACACACAAACCACCAAGGAAAAGATGAAGAAATTGAAGATTTTTACCAACTTCCGCAGTCTGAAATTGATCAAACATATAATCAAGATGTACTAATAATTACTGGTGACTGGACTGTGAAAGTTAAAAACAAAATAGAAGAACTGGTAGTTGAAAAATATGGCCTTGGCAATAGAAATGATGCTGGCGATCACATAATAGAATTTTGGAACAACAATGACTCATTTTTTCAACAACATAAATGGTGA